GTTTAATAAGGAAGAGGGTGTTTGGAAAATTCTTAATCAATACACATTATCTCTGGAGGAAGCTAGAGCTGTAGCTTGTTTTGTTTTGTTTCTTAATCCATCTGTATGATTTAGAGCTCATACGAAATGTCAGGCCAGAGAAATGACCTTGAGAATCATCTTTATTAATATTCTTCAAATGTATTATATTAACAACAGTTGAGGTTTTGGATATACATGTCAAGCTATCCTTCCCCACCCCAGAGAAACTGGGGCTTAGAATTGTTAACTTGTCAGATCCCAAATCCCATTCTTGTCACTTTGACCTTAATCTGTATCTTTCTCCCAAGGGATCAGACATTTGACCTAAAAATTCTCAAAAATAAATAAATAAATATATAGATAAATAATAAAAACAAGCAAAGCACTCAAAGACTTCTGAAACATCTTCCTTATGTTGCGCACACACACACACACACACACATACACACTTTTACTCATATTTGTCATCTTAAAGTTATTCTCTGACCACTTCAGTTAAAAGTTTCTTTCCAACTCAAATCTTTAACACAATGATGTGCTGCTGTGCCAAGGCTTTCTTAACAAGTTTGAGTTTCCAGTCTTTTCCCTAGGGAGACCAGCTTGCCACAGCCCAAGTAATTAGAGGAGGAGATACAGACTTCTGTCCTCATACTTTTGAAGGAATGTGAGAATAATATGAAGGTTTTTGTGTCAGGGCCTTTGGTGGTGAATCACCCACTCATTGACAGGGATGGGATTATAACAGGCCCTTGGACCTAAGCATAACCAACTCCACGATGGAAATGCCATTCAGCCCTTAAAACTCAGGACACAGACAACACTACCTGCCAAAATAAAAACAAAGGCCTACTCCATCAAAGTCCATAGTTCTGGGAAAGTCTCTAGATGTAATAATCTTGCTTTTTTACTTCTGTAGCTCTGCTTCTGGCTAACTGTTCTTGTTAACTGAAGTATGTCAACCCAGGATATGGATTTTGTGCTTGAAAATTCACTCTGAGGAAGACTTAGGACTGCAGTAGGATCCTGAATGCCCAGTGTAGTTAATGGCCAACCAAATAAGAGTTATATTGGCTTCAGCCCATCTAAGAAGTCTTCTCTGGTGGACACCCCACAACAGAGACAAGAGTGGAATACAAGCTGGCTGGACTAAACAGGTAACAAGAAAGGCTTCTAGAAATGTCTCAGCAGAGCGAACTCTTTGAGACGCCCTCAGGCCTCTAGGAGAGACTTCATTTAGTCTGTGAGGTAGAATGTAGGCAGGGTTTGAAGCTTACATTTCAGATTTGACTGACGGTCTCCCTCAGCTTGCTTTCAGCCTATTTATTTTTTCCATTTTCTTAGAAGAATTACAGAAAACCAAACACAATGTTTTCATTAGTAATAAATGTCCCTGAAATAGCCAAACATTATCACCATCACCACCAACAACAAAGAAGCAAAGGGGCCAGAAGTCTGATCTGTGTATAAACTGATAATGACATGACTGCCCCCATGGTATGGTTAAGGGAAGGTTTTTTATTGTAGATGTGAGAGAGAGAACAGCCAGAGGCATCTAGAAAAGTTCAGCGCAGAGACAGAAAGTCGTAGACTGCACATGGCCAGCAGACTGGACCTGACCACGAGAGAAGCAAGAGCAGAGAGATGGAGGGAGACCGAGAGGAAGAGAGTGCAGGGAAGGAGGCCAAAGCAAGAGCGTAGCTGAGAGAGCAGAGGTGTCAGAATGAGTACTGAGGGAGGAGACCATGGGTTGGAGAAGTTGAGGGAAGGGCAGGAGAGTGAGAAGAGCCAGGAGGCTAGCACGGCTGAAGTGTGTAGCAGGTGCTTGTAATTCTGAGGGAGCCTGGAGGCCAGCAAGTCCTGCGGTCTGCTAATAGACCACCAGGCATCATTCCTCCCTTCTGCCAGCGATGAGGGAAATGGCTCCTTTTGGTTGAGTGGAACCAGCTTCCCAAGTTTCTAGGGAGTGGGGGTTTTTGTCTAACAGCCAGAATTTGAGGAAATGGAGTTTCTGATTGGTGCTGACAGTCTGGTTATAAACTCATAGATGCTATTAAACCCCAGAATTTTGATCACATTTTGTGGATGTTGAGTAGATGGAAGCCTTTCAAAAAAACCTAAAGGTCTTCTTTTGAAATCTAGGCAAAGGGTTCTGTGGAACATAGAAGAGATGAGCTGTGCTGGGCATCTTTATGTCAGTGTCTGAGAGGAGGGAAAAGCAATTAGAAAAGGCCTCCATAAGACTGGGCTGTAGGCAAATCTGTGGAACATTTTCCTAATTATTGATTGATAGGGAGGGCCCAGCCCACAGTAGATGATGTCTCCCCTGGGCTGGTGGTCCTGGGTTCTATGGGGAAGCAGGCTGAGCAAGGCACAAGGAGCAGGTAGGCCGCACCCCTCCATGGCCTTTGCTCTGGCTTCCCATTCCTGCCTTGTTAAAGCTCCTGCCCTGACTTCCTTCAATAACGGGCTTTGATGTGGAAGTGTAAGCCAAATAAGCCGTTTCCTCCCCAACATGTTTTGGTCATGGATTTTCATGAGATGGGTGAAGAAAAAGAATGACAGGACTTGAGGGCTGGTGTTGTCAGGCTTCTGTGGGACTGTCCTTGGTGGGACAAATACAGGAGCCATCCTCTGAAGGGAAATTATCATGCAGATCATGGGAGGGGGTGTGGCTGACTGAGATCTGTTGTGGAATATTTAACTATGTAAAGATGTGTTGCATTGGTTTAGCTATGTAAAGCTGTGATGCTGTTTTACATTGCCTGCCTAAGGAACCTCAGTGGTCTAATAAAAAGCAGCACTACAAGTAGTAAGGGAGGTGTAGGTGAGACTTCCAGAAAGGGAGAATAAGTAGCAGAAGGAATTTAGGATCTGAAAAGAAAGAGAGAGATGCCAGGGAGACACCAGGGGCTAGCCAGACAGACACAGAGAAAGCAGGAATGCAGGGCACACAGAATGAAAAACAAAGGGGGGGGGGAAGCCCCAAGGCAAAATGTAGATGACTAGAAACAGGTTAAATTAAGTTAAAAACAGCTAGTGGGAAATGCCCAAGCAAAGGCCAGGAATTTATAATTAATAATAAATCTGTGTCTTTGTTTGGGAGCTTGTTGGCAGCCCAAAGAAGCCGCAGCTGCAGAGATCATTATCTATTGCTTGAAGTGCAGAGATGGCTCAGTGGTTAACAGCACAAGCTGCTCTTCCAGACGTTCAGGGTTTGATTCCCAGAGCCTACACATCTATTCCTAGCTTCCTGTAATTCCAACTCCAAATGATTTGTTAGGAACATAAGTGAAACCATTTTGTGTAACTTGAAAACCAGTCTGTGGCTTAGAATAATATGCCTGCAAGATAGGAGCCTGCCACAAGGCAGCTCAGGTAGGAGCTAATCCCCAAATAGTTTGATATGCTAATGAACCAGCCCCAAAGTGGCATGGTTGCCCTAGTGAACCAGACAAGGCTGTGAGCACCCACAGTGCAAAGGTAAGACCCAGTGAAATGATAGGAAAAATAAAACTTTTACAGTGACCCCTAAGGTCCCATTGCTGTGCTGTGCTCCCAAGACAACAATTCAAGTCTCAGCACTGATGAGACCCATCTGCAACTTGGAGACTGGTCTCTGTGTGAGGCCCTGGCTTTGACCACCCGTTTCCAGCACAGTCGCTCAGCTTGCACATGCCTGTGAGCACCAGCATCTATCTGAAAGCCCTCAAGGACCTTCTGGAACCTCTGTCAGTGCCATCTTCCTGGCGGGACACAGCTAAAGGAATTCATCGTGGACATGGGTTTAGCCACCAAGCTCCTAAAGCACCCTAACTGGAAACCTGGTGGTGTCGCACACCTTTAATCCCAGCACTCAGGAGGCAGAGGTAGGCAGATCTCTGTGAGTTCAAGACCAGCCTGGTCTGTAAGAGCTGGTTCCAGGACAGCCTCCAAAGCCACAGAGAAACCCTGTCCAAAAACAAACAAACAAAACCAAAAAAGGGCAAAAACATCCTAACTGGAGAAGATTCCCCAGTGGAACCCTGCTGCAGTGCTATCTGTCCAGGCTGTTTAACCTTTATAGTAACATGAGATTGTAATGATTGTGTGAGTAATCTGAGCATATTTGAAAGGCAAATCTCATGGGGGCATAAATTCCTGACCACTTCAGTGTCTACTCGCTGTGCTTTCTGCAGGATCGGATGCCCTTTTCTGGCCTTTGTGGGCCCATGCACACGTGTAATGCACAGACATATATGCAGGAAAACCACCCCATACACATAAAACAAAAATAAAATCAGAGTGTATTGGGAGAAGGAGGGTGGCAGGGTGAGGGCGGGGTACACAGACAGAGGTGTGCGTGTATGAACAGGCATGGCAGTAGAGCTCCGTCCAAGCTGTGGCCTTGATGGTCTCAAGTGTGTTACAAACCTTTCCTCCTGTGGCTCTTCGCCACGATACTAAAGCTCCGCTCACTCCTTATCACACAAGGAGCGTACAGTGGCCTCACTCCTGTCCCCCACAGCTGGGCCTCGGGCTAGCCTCCGGCTCGGGCTTGTGTTAGTACTAAGAAAACTGACCTTGCCTGCCAGTCAGGAACACAGCGGCTTTGTCCCAAGTACAAGAGCTCCTCTGTATAGTACCCCCATTCACTGGAGCCTCCTTCCAGGGGGCACCTAGGCCACACAGCTGAAGCATGAGAACCAGGCAAAAGGGCTGAAGCAGGTTTCTAGATAGATCTTAGAAAGATATTCCCAACACCAATGGAATAAACGAGATTCTGTCACTCAGTGGTAATGCTTGTCGCATATGCTATGTGTATTCTTTTCAGCTACTTGTTTTTAATAAACTCAAAAGCATCCCCTGAATATACTAATGGTCCTTCCGTAGAGCAAGTATGAGAATTTGGGACTAAACCTCCTCCCTGGATAGGGTAGACGCCATTGCTTCCTTCATACCCTTAATAATAGACAGCAGAGATAAGAAGAGTCAGAGAATTCTTTGTTTACAGATACAGAATATATTTTGGGTGGTTCTTTAACCCACCTGTTCATTAAAGAAAATGACAACAATAGTGCTCTTTAAAGGGTAGCGAGGAGGGGGAGCCGAGAGGCTACCATCGCCCTGAATGGTCTCCATTAACAGAACAACACTTCTGAGGTAAACCTTGCTTGGGACCTAGGGTGGGTTTCTGTATTGAGTGGCATAAGCCAATCTAGGACAGTGCCGAGGACAATGTCGGGGCTGGCCTGATACTGAGACAGAGCCATGCTGCCGAGAGTTCGGCTGGAGCTTACTGTCTAGAATATGGGGAGCAGTTAAGAAGGGTGTCATCACTGACTTCTTAGTGGGTGCAGCAGACTGGGCCCTGGGCCCTCTGCAGCTCTCTGCCTTAGTTTTCTTAGTGGGGCTTTTGGCTTGAGGCAGACCCTTGTCAACATTTTCTTTGCTGGTTTTGGCCACTTTTGCAGGTGTTGAGACCATGGGTTCCACATGTGTTTTGCCTTTTATCTTGGGGTTAATGGAGTAAAGAAAGGATTTCACCTTATTTTTCAAGCTAGCCTCTGGAAGGTTAGGGCTAGCGTGAGGAGGGGTTGGCACCACCCGCCCCCGTGAAATGTGGTCTTGCCTAGTTTGACCTCGAAAAGGCTTTCCCTGAATTTGTGGGCGTGGGAAAGGAAGGCCCTGGGAAGCCTGGGAGGCCAAAGGCTGGGGGACCACAGCAACCCTTGCAGGTTGCCGGATGGCATTTGTCCTGGTTTGGCTGTCTTGAGTGTCACGTTCAGGTTCCATCTCCATGAAGACTTCTGGAGGTGGATCCGGGAACTCCAGCTCAGGGGGCTCCTGGGAGCTGGGTGGACAGGGACTCTCAAGATGAAAGCTAGGCCGGTGCTGTGAGGAGCCCTGGGGTGTCCCGCGCACAGGCCCCTTTTCCGGCTCCTGGTCTGCATCACGGTGTGTTCTCTCACTGGTCAGGGAAATCTGCAGACCTGCACCCCTTTCTCCAGAGTCCCCCTCTGCCTTGGGCTTCCCTGGCTCGTGGCTCTTTTCTGTCAGTGTGGGGACATGGTCTGAGTACTTGCTCTTGCCTGGGTCTTGAGGCTCAGTGCTAAGGGCTTCCTCCAGGCTGAGCTTCTCCCCACTGGTCTCCATCTGAGCACAGGGCACTTGGGCCTTGGTCGCATTCTCTGGGGCAGAGCGCTGGGGCACTGCTTTGGAGCTAGGCTGCCTTGGCTTGTGACACACAGCCTGCCCTGCAGCGGCTGGCCGTTTTCCCAGGTGGACGGTACTTGCATCTGGGGCTGCAGGAAGGTCACCTGATTTGGGCAGTTTCTGTAGCGCGGTGCTTTCTGGGATACTGAGACTCCTGACAGGTTCCTGCAGGCATTCACTCTCTGTGTCCCCTGCATTTGGCTCTAGAAGCTCATTTGCCGTTATAGGAATTCCCAACTTTATCTCTAGGACTTTTTTTTTCAGATGGAAACTCAGTCTCTCCACCATCTCTTTGTTAGATGGGTTAGGGCTGGGAATCTGGCTCCCTAGAGGCACCATCTCTGTCCTTTCCTCCTGCACTTCAGGCTGGACCTCTTCTGTAATATTCACAGACACCTCACTGTAGTCCTGAGGACAAGGGCTTGAGACCTTACTGTCGTCCTGAGGACAAGGGCTTGACACCTCACTGTCGTCCTGAGGACAAGGGATTGACACCTCACTGTCGTCCTGAGGACAAGGGATTGACACCTCACTGTAGTCCTGAGGACAAGGGCTTGATTTCTTGCTGTCATCCTGAGGACAAGGGCTTGATGTCTTGTTGTCATTTCCAGGACAAGGACTTGATATTTTGCTGTCATCCCCAGGACAAGGGCTTGGAGTCTCTCTGCCATTCCCAGGACAAGGCTCAAGTCCACTCAGATGTGGGTCTTCAAGTGTTAGGGGTTCCTGTGGAATTTTAACAGGCCTAGGCATCATCTCTGTGACTGCAAACTGGCCAACAATTGCTGGGGATGTTGTTCTAGAGGGAGTCACACAGTACACGGCAGGAAGGCCTGACAGGAAGGCCAGATACTTATGTCGTAAAGTTGTCTCCAGTTTCTTGATGGTCTCCTCAGACAGGGCTTGGGGCCGCTTACAGTGTTCAATGAGAGTGCCTGATAGGGCCTGCTTCTCCTGGTCCCCCCTTGGTTCCTGAGGAACAACTTTGTGATGTAGGTCAGGTTTACTTTCCGCCTGTGACTCCAGGGGTTGGCATGGTGGGATGCTTGGGAAAGGAGTCCCTGCTGCCAAGCTCCTGGAGAACCCCCAGGAGCGTTGGACACAGGCAGGGACCTTGCCCTGGTGGATCTGATCACATTTAGAATCAACGTGGCTCTTCAACATTTCCTTTGCCTGGGCAAACAAGTGTGGCATGGGGATCGGCCCTTTGTCCACTGCGGATGCGAACCTGTCACCGGACCCATCGGCCTCTGGGTTGCCTGGCTGAGGGATGCTCACACTGGCTAGTGCCCTGCCGCCGCCGCCGCCGCCGCCGCTGCTGCTGCAGGACAGGGCCTGCTGGTCAGCAGAGGAGATGAGCAGGTGAATGGAGCGCTGGATCCTCTGGGGCAGGCCCCAGCGAAGGTGAATCAGCTGCTTCTGGAAGTGGAATTCCAGCAGCCTGCGCACGTGCTCCGGGACAAAGAAAAGGTCTCTGGTGAGGACTGAGAAGCACTTTCCTCGCCAGGGGGCTTTTAAAGTCTCGCGTGACTTTGCCTTATTACATGGCTTGTACTGTATGTGTCTCGGCATATAGGGAGATCCGGGGATGACGGCTGGGAGGCCCCACTGAAGCTGAAGCTGTCTTTGCAGAAGGTGCCATTCCAAGGTTTTACACTCGGCCAGAGTCAGAAATGGCACGGCGATCTGAGCCTCTTGATGCTCATATAAACACTCATTGGGAGAAATTGAGGAAGGAGGAGGGGCTGCCTTAGGTGGAGTGTGGGGCGGCAGGGGCAAGGGTGAGGTTGAGGACTCTGTCAAGAGATGAGAATCTTCACAGGGGCGTCTAGGCCTGTCCTGGGAGAGATCTTGAGTGCCCAGGAAGGTAGTGACCAAGGACTCACTGTGCATAGAAGGGAGGCCACAGAATAACTGAGTGAATTTCTTCTGAAGATTGTCCCTGGAGTCGTTAGCCTGTTCCTCAGGCTGCAGACAGATACTACGTACAACGTTATGGTCAGGAGTGAATAAAGTCTTTCCCCCAGGGTTTGGGATTTGTTCACGGTGTGTTTCTTGTTCTGGGTCCACATTAGACCACTCAGAAACCCAAAAGGTCTGGATAGGTTGGCTGTCTGCATATGCATGCCAGATCTGGTGGGAAATACTCCCAAACCTATTTCCACAGTCTTGGGAAGTATTATTCAGGATGAAAGAAAAGTGTTGGTTATGGCTATTTTCAGGCTGGAAGTACATTGGTGGGTTTGGCATCAGTTGACTCAGGGACTCCTCTACGCGTCTGGGGAGCCCCCACCTCTGGGAATGCATCAGTTTTTTCACATGTAGCTCAAGAAGCCTGACCACCGCAGGACTGAGGAATGGCTGTGGGACAATGCTGACAACGGATACGGCCATCGGATGTGTGACGTGAGTGCTTTCTGGGCTCAGGGTTTGAAAGCAGATCTGTGAGTTCAAACACTGATGGCCTTGGATCTCCTGGACACAGTTCAGGTTGTTGTGCATCGTCTCCCCAACATCCACTAAGACCACAGACTCCCTAAACCTTGAAGACGCCACAGTCTCAGAGACCATGGCCATGTCTTCCTGATGAAATTCCTGTCCTACCTGGAAATGATCATCACAGAATTGCTGAATATCAACTGCACTGGCTGACTGTGTTGACTGTTCCGTTAGTGTTTGGGTCACAGGTACCAGTGAAAAGTCTGTGGAGTGCCCAGAGTAAAACTCCATATTGTGGTCAAACGGCACACTGGATATGGGCAACAAGTCCAGGCAAGAAGACTCCTGTGGCAGTTCCAGCAAAGCAGGGGAGATCTGGCCTTTATCGCTCTCCAGCAACTGCTGAATCTCTAGAGTTGCAGCATCACAAATTTGGCAGCAGGGATCTACACACAGGAGCTGCCGCACATTTCCCTCCGTGGGGAGCCAGCTTTGGCTAGAAAAAGAAAAATGGCCACCGTTAGTGATGGAATGACATCTCCCTCCTTGGAGGAATGTTGTCTGAGGAGTGCTGTGGCCTCTCCTCCAGTCCCACACTTTTCAGCCTACACTGGCAAATGAGGTCCCTGTGAGAACCACTCAAAATATGGGATGCCCCTGCTACTGTACCCAGGGAATCATTGTGGACCATTCATATTCTCTAGGAATTAAGTAGAGGACATGATGACGGGCTGAAGGTGGCCCAGCAACTGCTTCTCCGCCCCCAGACAGACAGGAGGCAATGTCAGTGGGGTCCAGGCAGGCCCAGGGCTTTACCCTTAAAGGGGAGTAGCTGGAAGCAGGTATGACATGTGACTTCTTTATGTTAAATTCACTCTTGATAGGGGATGTCCTTTTGTGGGTTGTGAATATATACTTATCTTATTGGTTGATTAATAAATGCTGACTGGCCAGTAGCCAAGCAGGAAGTATAGTTGGAGCTACCAGACTAGGAGAATTCGGGAGGGGGGGGGAAAGGAACAGAGACAGTGAGTGTTGAGGGAGATGCCATGTATCTGCTGAGGGAGCAAGAGGGCTGGGCATCACCAGTAGTCAAGACCATGTGGAGATACACAGATTAACAGAAATGGGTTAATAATTAAGAGAGAGCTAGCCAATAATAAGCCTAGGCCATTGGCCGGCTTATAACTAATATAAGCCTCCATGTGTTTATTTGGGACTAAATGGCTGCAGGGCCAGGCAGAACAAAAACTTCTGGTGCAACAGCAGCAGTATCCTTTACGAAGTGTGCACTAGTCAGTTCTGAACTGCAGAGCTGCTAAGACTCTAACAGAGGATTGGGTGCTGGGTGGCTCTTCCCTCCTGAGGTGTGTGTGAACCACCTCTGCCCTGACAGCCTCTCAGTGGCTGAACCCGCCTTCAGTGTGGTCCTCCTTCCCTCATTATCCCCACCCCTTTTCTCCTTCTCTCGTACATTACATCCTGACAGAGTTTTACCCCCCCTCCATTCCTCCCGGTCCTCCCCCCCCCCCCCCTTCTCTCCAAAATCCACTCCTCCCCTGTTTCCCTTCAGAAAAGATCATTAAATTTGCAGGCAAATAAATGGAACTTCCTGAGTGAGGTAACCCAGATCCAGAAAGACACGGTGTGCACTCCCTCATAAGTGGACATTGGCTGTAGAGTAAAGGGTAACCATTCGACAGTCCACAGACCCTGAGAGGCTACGTTGCTCAAGGTGGGATGCATAGATCTCCCCGGGAAAGGGAAAATGACAGATTTCGTGGGCAGACTGGGGGTAGATGCGAATAGGAATAGTTACCCTTTTTTCACCCCTGGCCCAAAGTAGGCCTAAAAATCATTACAGTTAAGAGACCACAGAGGTCAAGAGGTCACCTTTTCATGATAGAGAGCAGCTCCCATGGCTTCTCAGCTTCTTCTTGGGAAAGTCTCCTGGCTGAGGAATCAGGACACAGTGTTATGTGGTAAATGAGCATTTTAGGGGTGTTCTACAGGGAATCTGAATGCTAAGTCTTAAGCTCAGGGAGAGGAATCTGAGCACCTAGACTGAGTGTTCTACAGCACGCTTGCATCCACCTTTGCCATTTAAAATGCACTGTCCCCTACGGGTGAAAGGAATCTAGTAAATGACTGCTAAGGACATCTTCATTTCTCAATCCTTTTGTTGTCAGGGGAGTGAGGCTGAGGATTTTTTTAACAGTCTTACTTTCTGATTTCCATCCAGTGCGTATGTCACTTGGCACTGGGCAGGGCTATGGAGAAGAGGACCATGGGAGCTCTCGGGGGGCAGGGGAGTAAGAGCTCTCCCGGGGGCAGGGGGCAGGAGGGGGCAGGGGGCAGGAGGGGACAGGGGCAGGGGACACCGGGACTTTACCTCTTGATGCTGCATCTCTAGCCCTCTGCCTGACTTTTCGATGGCGCTTAAAGAGAAAAAGATCACAATGTGAAGCTGGAACTGTTTTCTTTTTCATGTCTGTAGTGTGACAAGGGTCGTATACATTTCCTTTCCTTCCAACTATGCTTGTGCAATTTTGGTACTCTCCTACATTGGGCTTGGCTATGCTCCACCGTTCTCACCCCAATCTCCCTCCTCTGCACCCTTCTGGTTCTTGTGGAAACTGACCTGAACTCCACTTCCTATCCAACCACTGAGTGAAGCTCTACAGAAGTTGTGGATAAGACAACAGGCACATTATAGGATGTGTTCTTATACAAACGACCTTCTGCATCTAAATGACACAACAAACTAAACTGGGAAATTCTCCTGTACTGGGAGATCTGAGATGATGGTAGTCCTCTATTCAAACCAATAAGCCAATAGAAAGGTTTTTGGTAAGGGAAGGCTTCCAGCCTCACAGAATAAAGGTATCATACACTGGAAAGTATCATATCCGAACTGTGAGGTAGGGCAGTGAGGTCGTGGGGGGAAGGTGTGCTGACACTGGAGCCTGAAAGTTTCTCGGCTAGCTCGGGAGTGGTCAAAGGTTTTCCTACCCGGCAGCAGCTCCTTTTATGTTCCCACTTCAGTCCTCGGTAATTCTGTTGCACTTGCCAGATAATTAAAATAACGATGAAGATGTAGAAATAGACATATAAGGGATATCCAATATCCCACAGAAAGCAGGTAGAGCTCAACATGGTCCAAACCCCTTTAACACGAGGAGACCAGCCATCCCTACTCCTGGGACATTTAGAGTCCTAGTGCCCAGTATCTCCCAGGGCTGAGCCTGGCCATGCCCACCTCACAGAGGATAGAACTGGTCCACCGGATGGCATCACAAAGCCCTCCATTCCATAAGAGAAGCTCATACCATAATTCAGTCACCTTTAAAGGCTATGAATCCTGGGTTTGAATATGTCACACTCACAAGCTGTGCCTGTCCCCTATTTTCACATCATACTCACTCTCAGTATACGAGCCTGCTGGCTTGGCTCTTTTCTTTACAACTCTGTAGTTGGACTGTTTGCTACACTAACTGTGTAGGTGTTACTGGTGGTCAGAGTCTAGGTTTGGTGCTTCCAGGTTCTTGACATCTTATTCAAAACTTTGAAATTTTGCACACACAGATTTGCAAAGTAGCACATTTTAGTCAAAGCAAAGTGATAGCATAGATCAGAAAGAAAGAATGCCATTAGAATAGTTACAGTGGGCCACATGAGTAGCTACTGTTTGGCACTTGCTGTTACGGAACTTAAGAGAAGGAAGAGTTTGATTGCATAGCTGATTCTTATCTTGACTGACAGATTGTTATATAACCTCTTTGCTACTGTGCATGCTCCTTCCCATAATGCATCTGATCTTAATCATAAGCAGACACAATTATGCACAGGCATAAGATGGCAAATAGGGGGTTCTCTCTAAAAGTTCACCCAGAATACATACTTGCACCTTGTTATATGCAGCCCAAATTAATTCAGGCCTTACCAGTCCTTCTACTCTCTTACAGGATGTAATTGAAACATCTTTGGATAGGAACTGTCTAAGTTTGATTGTTGTTAGGAGTGAAAAAACTTATCCAATTCATTAGAGATGCCTATGCAGGAAGCTCAATACAAAAGGGAGTCTTAGATTGTTGCTAGGTATATGAGAGGGGTGTTGCACACCCAAGTGCACTATGGGAGGGGTGTGTGTATAACCCAAGCTTAGTGGAGTCATAGGTTGCTAAGCTATTTTTTTGAGACAAGGTTTCTCTGCATTGTTTTGGAGCCTGTCCTGGAACTCACTCTGTAGACCAGGCTGGTCTCAAACTCAGAGATCCACCTGCCTCTGCCTCCCAAGTGTTGGGATTAAAGGCGTGCGCCACCAACGCCCCACTTGCTAAGCTATTCTTATGTTGCCTACTTATAAGTTGTCATCCTCAGAAAGCAGTGCTTTGGCACAGCAGGCGTGTTGCAAGGAAGAGTGGCTGGGACAGAGGAACTTCTCTCAAACTCTCCTTCCTTGCCTGGAAATGTGACTGAGAAGTACACAGGGGCTCAGGGAAAAGAACGTAGGTACGGGTCAGAAACAAAGAGTGCTGGAGTTAAAAATGTGAACCACCACCCAGATGAAAGGTTTTTTTAAGTTACTTTTTTTAAAAAAATCTTGGAAGTTGTTGAAAGTAGTCAAATGTCTTTTCTATGTCTATTGTTACAATCGTATAGTTTTCCTCTTTATACTGTTATGGTAGTTTACACTGATATTTCACAATTTTGATTTAGCATTAAGTTCCTGGAATAATTCCATTTTGGTCTTAATTTATATATTGAAAGGTTGGACTTGCTACTATTTCTTGAGGATTTTGTGTGTCTACATTTAGGAGTGATGATAATGTATATTTAATTTGTTGATTTGTTTGTTTGTTTGTTTGGCTAGCAGAGGAAGTCCGACATCGAAAGAGGAACCAAAGCTGGGAATGGAGGCAGGCATCTCCTATGACTCAGAAGGCTGAGACAAAGCGGGAATTGCAGCTTCAAGGATAAAGTGGGACATAGTGTGGTGGTTTGAATAAGAGCAGCCCCAGAGGCTCAGGTGCTTGACTGCTTAGTTCCCAGAAGTACAACTGTTTGAAAGGATTAGAAAGATTAGGAGGTGTGGCCTTATTGGAAGAAGTGTGTCACTGGAGGTGGGGTTGAGGCTTCAGAAGTTCATGTCAGGCCTCCTTCTCCTCCTCCTCCTCCCCCTCTCCCTCTCCCCTCCCCCCCTCTGCTTGCCTATGGGTCTGGATGTCGCTGGCAGCTACTCCTCAGCCCCAAGCCTGCCATGTCTGCTGCCATGCTTCCTACAATGACAACGCACTAAGCGTTTCAAACTGTAATCAAGCCCCCATTAAACTCTTCCTTTTATAAGAATTGTTTTGGTCATTGTGTCTCTTCACAGCAATAGAACACAACTACGACAGAAGTTGGTGCCAGGAGTGGGGTATTTCTGTGTCAGGCCTGACAATGTTTATTAGTGTAATGTGGACTTTGGAACTTGGGACTAGAAAAGTTGTTGAAGCTTTAAGAGGGGTTTAATGGGCCATCCTAGTAGGAGCATAGAAGGCAATGCTAATGACAGCTTTATAAATAATGAGGGCCCAGCTCAAGAGGTTTCAAAGGGAAGAATATTAGTAAGTTGCCTAGAGATAGTTCTTGTGATATTTTGGGAAAAGAATGGGGCTGCTTTTTACACTTGTCCAAAAAAATCTGCCAGAGAATAAATTGAAGAGTTTTGGATACATGAGATGCTATCTCATGCCTGCCTCCCTTCAAAAAAATTTCTGGAAGCTTTCCTATATCTTCTGTTTTCTAGAAAAGTTGTGTGTTATTAGTATTTCCCGTGGTTCTGGTTAGAATCCATCAATGAGACCATCTGGGCTAGTGTTTCACGAAAAAGCTACTAACATCAACTTTAATTTCTTAAGCCAACAGGAAGAGAGTGAACTGTTTTACACTACAGCCTGCAGATGCTGTCTGCTCCATTAAGTTGGTCAGTGCCAGCCACAACACTGTAACACACTTTCTGTTATTTAATTCCTATGGCATTACAGCAAGGTCTTCTCCTTGGAGCCTCATATTGGCAAATTTCATCCCCTCAGTAGATATGATTAGAGTTTTATTTTTCAAGGAACCAGATTTTTTCAATCTACTTTTCTTGTTTCATCCTTTATTGCCTCTTTTTGTCTGCTTGCTTTATTTTTTCTAATTTTAGTGATATAGATTACTGTTTTGAAATCTTTTCTAATATAGACACTTAGTGCTATAAATTTGTGTGAGTGTGTGTACGTTTGAGGACGCCAGGTGTGTGCAAATGCACATGGGGGCCAGTGGTCAACCTCAGATGTCATTTTTCTTGAGACAGAAGCTTGTGGTTGGCTTGGAGTTTGTCAATTAAGGTAGGCTGATGATGGGCTAGCAAGACTCAGCAATCTACCTGTCTCTACCTCCCTGGTGTTGGTACTTATAGGTGTGTGCCACCATACCTAGCTTGAAAAATACTTTTATTTTTCAGAATTTCCTACATACATACAAATATGATATTAACTACCTCCTTTTATCCCCTCCAACAAGCTCCCTTTCTAACTTCATGTCTTTAAAAAAATAGCCCACAACATCCAGTTAGTGTTGGCTGTATGTGGGGCGGGGGAGGATCCAGTGGAACATGGGGAATGCAACCAATGACCACATATTCATGAGTGTCTGTTCCCAGCAGCTCTCAATGCTAACAGCGCCTCCGTCAAAGGCAGGGCTTGGAGACTACCTGCTCTCATTTACACCAGGGTTTCGCCTGACTTGACCTTGTACAAGTCTTGTGGAGGCAGCCACGGCCGCTGTGAGATCATGAGTGTGGTGGGCATGCCATGCTCAGAAGACAGCAGTTCGCAGCTCTCCCCTCCCCTTGAATCCGTGCTGTCACTGAGCCCTGATGGTGGTGGTTGTGGAGGGATTCATAGAGATACTGCATTTATGTTGGGACACTCAGTCTCACTCACAGCACGACCGCCAGTTACACATCTCAGCTTTGACTTATTCCCACTGCAGAAAAGAAGCTGCTCTGACAAAGGTTAGGAACAGCCAACATCTATGGGTCTAAGCATAGTCATTTAGAAGACAATTTGACCGCATATAGCAAAATAGCAGTAGCTGGTTCTACCCTAGGGCCTCTGACCTCCCCGGACATGGGCTGTAGACTAGGATTACAGTGTCAGGATGAACTTCCCTCCTGTGGCGGGTCGATATGGTCAAAATACATTGTATAAATGCATGAATCTCCCAAAGAAGTAATTTAAAATATTGTAACTTCAAAAAAACCCTGTTTTTCTAAGGATACTGTTAAGCTGGATGTGGTGGTACATGTAATCGCAGCACTTGAAAGTCTGAGGCAGAAGGATAATGAGTTCAGTGCTAGCCTGAGCTACATAGTGAGACCCTGTCTCCAGAAACAAAGAAGCAAGGGAGGTCAAAGGAAGGGAGGAAAAGAAACAAGGTCGGGTAGCAGTTCAGCAGTCCCATATGTATTTACCATATGTATTTGCATGCATATGGTCCTTGGTCTCAAGCCCTGCATGGATGGATAGCCAGCTGCAAGGAGACAAGGAGGAAACTTAAATACATATTACTAAATGAAGGGAACACTATATAATTTCAACATACAGCATCCTGGAAAAGTCAGAACTATGGAAACAGCTACTCCAAAGTTCTCAGTAGCGCTTAGCAATTATATGTTCAGTAATTAAGACAACACAAAAAGCCCAATTCAAATATAGGCAATGTGCTTCCATAAATATCTCTCTTAGGAGATTCACATATACCCAATAAACACACAAAAAGAGCAGCATTACCAGACATTAGAGAAATGCAAATCAAAACCGCAGTGAGATGCTACCTCACACACTTCAGAATGACCACTGGGGAAAAAATGTATTTGTGAAGATAAGAATAAAATGTAACACTGGTGCATTGCTGGTGTGACTACAAAACAGTGCAGCTATTATGGATAAGAGCTTAGAAATTCTTTAAAAATTAAAGATACTGGCTAAAGAGATGGCCCAGCAGTTAAGAGCACTGGTTGCTCTTCCAGAAGATCCAGGTTCAATCCCCAGCACCCACATGGCAACTCACAACTGTATGTAACTCCAGTTCCAAAGGATCCGACTCCCTCTTCTGGCCTCTGAGGGCATCAGCCATGTACACAGTACACAAATACACACACACACACAAATAAATCTTTAAAAAGAAATTCTCTTGGCAAAAAAAAGCTATTATAGAAAGCCAAAGATAGAATTATCACAATGGTTCGGCAGTTTTGTCTCAAAGAAACATAAGGGTTTGAAAAGATACTTGCATACGAGTATTAAAGTAACAATATTCACATTAGCCAAAAAGCGGAAACAATCCAACTGTTCAAATAAATGTAATGCATACCTATAATGAAATATCATTTGACCCACAAAAGTAATAAAATATTGGTACATCACAATATAAGTGAACTTTAAAGATGTTAAAAATAAGACAGATGCAATAGAACAAACATTGTGTGACATCACTTAGTGTGAGATGCCCACAACAGGCAAATCTATAAAGACGAACAGCAACAGTGGTTACCAGAGCCTAGGTTGGTGAGGAAGAATGGTGAGTTATTGTCCAGTAGCTACAACAGTGGTTACCAGAGCCTAGGTTGGTGAGGAAGAACGGTGAGTTATTGTCCAGTAGCTACAAAAGTTTCTCTTTGGGATGATGAAAAAGTTCAGGAAATAGTGATCCTCACACAAAATTATTAATGTACTTAGTGCTGCTGAATCTATGCCTTAAAATTACTAAATAAGCCAGGCAGAGTGATGCATGCCTTTAATCCCAGCACTTGGGAGGCAGAGGCAGGTGGAACTCTGTGAGTTCAAGGCCAGTCTAGTCTGCATAGTGAGTTCCAGGACAGCCAAAGCTATATAGTGAGACACTGTCTTGAAAAAAAAAACAAACAAAATAACTAAATAGGAGCTGGAGGATGGTTTAGGTATTGAGAGCTCTTGCAGAGGACCAGAGCTTGGCTCCCAGCACCCACATTGGGTAGCTCACAACCACCTGTAACTCCAGCTCCAGGGTATCAGTTGCCCTCTTCTGACCATCATGGGCATTCACACTCATGTTCACACACACACACACACAGGTACACACTCATCCATTCTCTGCTGCACTCTGCACATCCTATGACCTCCCTTCTAGGATGGAGCAGGGTGGGGCGGTGAAAAGGTTAAGAATTGGTGGGGAAGACAGTGTATCCTTGGAGTCATCGCCACCCCTGGCCCTTACAATCTTTCTGCTTCTTCCTCCACCTAGATCCCTGAGCCTTGAGAGAGGGTTTTAATAAAGACAGCCCACTTGAGGGCTCCACAGTCTCTCTCCACAATACGCAGTTGGGGGTCTCTTTGTCAAGCACCATCTACTGCAGAGGGTTGAGTGGTGTCCTGATTTGGGGGTATCATAAGTTTATGGGTAGCAATATGAGTAGGGAGGATTTGGACGAAATTGGGGGAGGGCAAAGAGTATGATCAAAATATATTCTATGAAAAATAGGATAAGAACTCTTGGGGATCAGTTGCCTGATTTTGCCATGAAGTAGGAGCCAGTTAACAGCATGGAGGAGGGCATGGGAGGCACACACTCCATGGTAACCCAGGAAGTGTACACATTAACTCGGGTTCCCACCTGAGCCAATCAGTTCCCTTCATACAGGCCTCCCTCTAGCACCCCCAACCCTCTCCCCCATTCTGTGGATTTCTGCCTAGCTTCCAGAGGGCAGGGAGGATGCCTGTTGGAAGGCCCCCTTGATCTCTGGGGATGCTCCAGGAAAACACCTGATGGGTGTTGGCTCAGCGAGCCTGGGCCGCTTTGAGGATCAACTAAGGGCAGACCTTCCTTCCTTTAGACACAGAGTCACCGCTGAGAGGTGGGATGACACACATCCATACTTTCTCCCAGCTGGGTTTCTGCATCCTGCTAGCAGTGAACACATTGTGCTGAACGTTGGGGTCCTATGAGAGGAAGCAACTCCCTTTACCACTTCCTCTTGATGGGATGGTGACAGATCCTGGATTTCCTTATGAACCAAAGGTAACCCACCCCTGCCTCATACCACACCGCAGGGGAGCCCAGTCCTTCCTGCCCTTGCTTCTGCCCTCCCCTGAGATAGGCTAGCTGGATGCAGCAGACATGCTGCCTTCTGAGGAACACAGTGGCCAGGGATCCGTCCCAAGTACTTAAGAGTGCCCTCTTTTCCTTTCTGATTCCCAGTTTTCCTCCTGGTCTACTTCCAAATCCTCCCTCATCCATGCTGAGCGTAGGACGTCCGGGCCCTGTTTCTCCGTCTCCGGTCCCCGTTCTTCCAGGATCCAGATCCGTGGGTTCAGAGCTTTCTCTGAATCTCTCTTGCTGCTCTCAGTTTCAAGAGCAGCTGCTTCACACCTGTGATCAGCAGCTCCAACCATCTTTCCCACCTATCTGGGGTCTCCCTGCCTCCAACTCCTTAGTGACAGGCACTTTCTATGGTAACCTCCAGAAACCATCGCCTCCGGCTCTCCAGCTCCAATTCTCCAATGCTCTTCCCCTTAAAGCCAAGGCCCTTTCCCAGCTCACTCACTCCTCCCTCTTGGTCCTTACCCACACTCATTTGTATGTGGAGAGACTTCCTCTTCCTAACCTTCATTAATACCACCACCAACAAAAATGGATCCAGCTAGTCTTCAGTGTGGTGCTTAGTACGGCTCCTTCTAGTTCTTCACCTGCTTCTCAAATGACCAGTTTATCTCTCTTGACCATCAACTGGCATGAGCTGTTTTGTTTTGTTTTGTTTGTTTTTTGGTTTTAGGGTTTTTTGTTTATTGGTTTTGGGTTTTTTTGGGGGGAGCTTTTTGAGACAGGGATTCTCTGTTACCAGCACTGTCCTAGAACTCACCCTGTAGGCCAGGCTGGCCTCCTCAAACTCACAGAGATCTACCTGCCTCTGCCTCCCAAGCACTAAGATTAAAAGCTTATGCCAACACCTCCCAGAAGAACTGTTTTTCTATCTTTAAGAACACACAAAGACCAACTCTGGAGGGCAGTTGCTACCCTCCCTCACTGCCTCTTACACTGTACTCAGTAAACTACAAAACAAAACAAAAGTCGCCTTTGTGGACCCCACGCCCCTTCAACTTATACTTCTATGAAACAAAAACCATCAAGAAAGCTAATTCTATTTGTTGTCACCCAGTCGCTTTCCCGTCAATCAGCTGCCAGTCTTACGTTCCTTGAACTAATGGACTCAAGACCATGAAGGAGCTCTGCATTTCTCAGTGTGACAGTGCCAAGTCCTCCTCTCACCTGCTAGCCCGGCTGCTCTCCCGTTGGCTGATAACTTCCTGCTTGAGCCGCTGGCCTCCTCTGGCTTCCAGTCTGCCATCTCCTCCCCACTCCGCACTGGCTGTAGTTTCCTAGTGCCCTGTACTCCCTGATCTCTCCAGAACTTCTTCTTTTCTCCTCCTGTCTTTTCTCTCCTTCCTCCACTCCTTCTCTTTCCTTCTAGCTTCCAAACTACTTTATTGAGTTTCTGAAGTACATGAAGGGCTAGTTTGGGTGGAGCTGACAGAATAATTGTAAAGGGGCGTGAATGACCAGCACAGAGATAGATTGAACATTTTTAAAGGGAAAGATAGGTCGCTTGTTTCCTATGGGAATTCAAGCCTGATCTACACTTTTAGTTAAAGTATCTTAAGCAAGGACCCTTCCTTCTCGGCACAAGTCCCATAGGAGTTATATAGAATGCTGACCCATCAAAATGAAAGGCAGACTTAAGCACCTATACCACAAGGCCAGTCTAGTCTATACAGTGACTAGTCTATATCACACACAGCAATGAAAACAAAAGAAAATACAGCTGACTCTTTGCTTATGGGTACAGAGTATATTTGGAGAATGCCATGCTTCACTTGCACGGAAATGACTGTTGACAGCCTTTTTAGGGAAGGTGTAGAGCTTTGGGAACCTACAAACTCTTTTTGGCTTGAAATGGTTATCCTCTCTGTGCTAACCAGTGCCTTCTGCTGAGGTGAGAGGAAATCTGACATTGATTAATACAAATCAATTGTGAACAATTTTTGAAGCATTTGTGGGAGTAGCTGTGGGGCCCAGGGTTGGTTGGGCCGAGGCAGGTATTGCTGGAGCTGTGTAGGCACTGTTGGAATGGAGGCAAGTCAGTTGGTCTTCTTGGCAGAGAGAGGCTTGGCCTTCCGGTCTTTCATAGTCTGCTCCTTATTGGCTCTTTCCTTGTGGTCTCTGATAGGAGTTTGGCTTTTCTTAGGCTCTTCAGTCTTGGGTTTGGCCTCTACTTCAGACTTAGACAGGACAATGGGTTCTTCCAGCCTTTCACATTTAACTTCAGGGTTAACCCAGTGTGAAAAGAACGTCATCTTATTTTCCGCTTCAGCTTCTGGAGGTTCTGGGAAGGTGGAACTCTAGTGAGTATCGTCTCACCCATCAGACCCTCCATCTCCCAGCCCTACCATGTTTTACCTCTGCAAAATGGCCTGGAAGAATTCCGCCTTGTAATTTTTCTATTTAAAAAATGAAGCCCCTTTGAATACTGGACTTGCAAATACTGGGCCAGCAGATGTTGGCCCAATAAGTTGGCATTGTGAGGTCTGGTCTTGTAAGAGCTGGGCACCCCAGGCTGAGCATCCCCAGGAACCTTTGGGTGAGATAGTTTGATTTATCCTAAAAGCTAAGTAGATCATTTTATCTGTCCCAAGGAATCCTGAAGGATGCTCTGAGAACCAGTGAAGAAACTGGTGAAAGTATTGTCTTGGAACCAAAATTCAAGGGGATAGAGATGGTGGATCTACCAATAGAGGTCTTACCAGTCCCTCCTCGCTGAAGGCAACTTGCTTAAACGAAAATTCTATCTGAGAAAGATCCTAAAGAGGCAATGGGAAGCCAAGCAGCCCTGGGGTTCTGCTTCTCCTGGCCCATGACCCTCAGCAAAGTGTCTGTTTGTGCTCTGTGATTCTTAGAAAGTTTGGATTCCACTAGGTCCTTCATTTTCCCTGCTTAGGTGAGGACTGGACTTCACTCTGGTCTAAGGGGTCCAGGGGACCTTCTGGTTGGATTATTCACTTTGGTCCCCAGTTACATACAGAGTACCTGCATCTCTATTGTGTCCCAACTGAACTTCAAGATGCCAAAGGCTCAGTGGGCAGAGCCTTAGGGCACCCTGCTCAGTCTAGGTCACCTTGGCTCTATTCTACTGTCTTTAGTTCAGCTGAAAATTCTTTCACGAGGACTCACTCTAGATCTGAGGTACTTGGGAACCCTAGTGGGAAAGGAGTCTTGGAGCAGTGCTTTCTTTTGTTTGTTTAGATTCCCAAAGGTCCCCTGTGTGGCTATAGCCTTTGTCCCTGCCTGTCTGAATGGGGCTTCTCCAAACATATCTCTAGGGTTGGTTTTTTTTTTTTTAGGTAAAAATTTAGTTTGAGAACGGTAAGTGTGATTGCGGAATGTCAGGAGCACATTCTCAGTTGTACTTCAGCCTAGAATACATCTCTGCATACGGTGTACGGCACTGTGAACACGTGCCCAGGGTTTAGGACGCCACTATTAAGGTAAGACTGACTCAGCAATTCTGCTGGGCTCAGGCCCTATCTCTGTGATTGTGTACTGACTAGGATTGCCAGGGTAATCGCTCAGAGAGATCCACAAAACAGCAGGCAGCCCTGGTAGGAAAGCAAATGTGTTTCCAGTTTCTAAATGACTGTGTGAGGGAAGGCTTGGGCAGCTTAGGGCCAGCAGTAACATCTGGCCAGTCTGTCAGTGTTCAGCAGTGTGACCTAAGTAGGGATCTGATTACTATCTGTGTGTCTCAGACTTGTTTTGCAGGGAAGAGCAGAACCAAGTTGCTGTCAGAGCTCCCGCAATACTGTAAACAGTCATTTTCAGTCTCAGAAATTATGGAGGCAAGGACGGTACCTTTGCAGGTCTTCCTACATGTAATCTGTGGGCTCTGCCACAATGTTTTGGTCCCATCAATCAACCATGGGCTGGTCCTGTTGCCGCAATAGATCATTACAGATCAGCATTGTCAAGGGCCACTAGGGCTCCAGCTGAGGAAAACTCGCCAAAGACTGCAGGAGCTAGAAGTAGCCGAATAGACTCTGGATCCTTAGGGACCAGCTCCAGAAAGAAATCAACGTGCTGTTTCAACCACTTCTGGAGGTAGAACTCCAGCAGGTACACTCCAGGGCAAGGCTGCTACCCTCTTGAGGTCAGAAACGGCTTTTAATCAGGGAGATCCCTGGAGCTGATGAGACAGACTCTAACACATCTCAGGGTTTACACTATGTGGTTCTCTGCATCTCCAGAGAGTTCTGTAGCCCCACTGAGGCTACCACTGCCATATCCACAGGTGTCACATTAAGACTTCACACTTGAGCCAGAATCAGAACATTAATCTGGGTTTGTCAATGGAAATGCCCAAGTCTGAGAGTATAGGGGAAAAGCTGACAATAGCTGAAGTGTAGGGAAATTTAGGCAATATGAAGATAAAGGACTAAGAGGCCAACAGGGGACTGATCCAGACTCCATGAATGTAGTGTCAGTGAGGAGGCCTCAGAAATCTCTGGGACCTTGGTGTTCACCATGGCATACAAATGATCTTTGGGAGCCCATTCCACATGGAGAGATGCTCTCTCAGCCTGGACACATGGGGAAGGGCCTAGGTCCTGCCCTGGATGAAATGACAGACTCTGGAGATCCCCCCCAAGGAAGGCCTTACCCTCCCTGGGGAATGATGTAGGGATTGGGCTGGGGATGGGGTGGGGGTGGGGCTGGTGGAGGGAGAAGGGGGGGAGCTGGGATTGACATTTGAAGCATGCATGTTTCTAATTTAAATAAAAAACATACATAAAATTAAAATAAAAGAAGGAGAAAGTAGAACCTAGGCTATGGAATAGGGTTGGAATCTATTCTGTAGTGGCCAGAGTTGAGGGGATGGTAGCCCATCCTTCAGTGGCTGTCGGTTGTTGGGTTTCTGAGCTTTGAAAATATGGGAAGTGGTGAGGTGGTGTGCTACAAGATGCCCCAGGAACTCCTCCAAAGATCAAGGGAAAACTCAATGTGAAAATGCATGCATTTATAGCTCCCTATACTCAGAGGCACCTTGGGACCTTTGGGATATAGGAACAGCTGGTGATGGGGATGTGAGGTCATGGGGCATTGTTTCAGGTTCAGAAAGCTCTGGGTCCCAGGAGAAAGAAGGAATCTAATACTCAAGGGCTGCTGACCTTCGTTCTTCAAGACAAGTTTCTTGCTTTTCTTCTTCTTTTGCTGGTTTGCAGGAACCCCGAGTTCTTCCTCACTTGACGAAGACAGCGTGCCGGCATCCGGGGACACATTTGACCCCTGAGGTCCCTGTTTTTGCTCATGATCAGGACAGTAATACTGGATGTTGGCATCACCAGTTGATGGGGCAGCTGATTGAGTTGAAGATTTCTGATCTGTTGACTGTGACGGTGTGAGGCTGGAGGCCAGTGAAATGTCTCTGGAGTGTTGGGAACAGAGCTCTGGACTCTTGTCAGACAACCCTTTGGATGAAGACAATGCTTCCAGGCAAGGAAAGCTCTGGGATGGTCTCAGTGGAACAGGAGAGGTCTGTTTGTTCTCACCCCCCAGCAGCTGCTGAATTTCCAGAGCCATAGCGTTGCAGATTGGGCACGAAGGATCTGAGCACAGGAGCCTCCGCACACTTCCTTCCTGAGGAAGCCAGCCCTGGCTGGGAAGGAAAATGGCGACTATTAGAGACAGCGTGGCACCTGCCCCTCAGAGGAGGGGGAGATTAATTCCCTTCCCGCACCCTCCAAGGCCTGGCCTATGCCTCCTGATGTCTGTCACTCTGCTTTTCTTCCTGGGGGAAATTTCAGTTGGTAAGGTCTGTGGTTGGGCTGAGAGTCTGAGGATGAGTCTCAAACAACCCGTCAGAGGATACAGCCCTCAGAGAGGACTGGGAACTTGGGTCAGTTTTCTGCCAACTGTATGGAGAAGCTGAACGAGAAGAAAAAAAGAAAAACAGGTAGATGGGAACCAAGTGATTAGCTGATGGGTGCCACCAAGGACACCACCACGTAAAGCCTGAATCTGTTTGTTTTTTTAATTTTTGGGGGTTGGGGGGAGTTGAGAAACTTGGTACCTGGTAAACAGTATATCCAAACTATGAGAAATGAGTTCCTCATTCTAAGAACTAGGGGTGTCCCTGCTGCTGTCCCCAGCATCTTTTTTTTTCTAGACAGGGTTTCTCTGTGGCTTTGGAGGCTGTCCTGGAACTCACTTTGTAGATCAGGCTGGTCTCGAACTCACAGAGATCCGCCCACCTCTGCCTCCCGAGTGCTGGGATTAAAGGTGTGCGCCACTACTGCCTGGCATCCCCGGCAGTTCTTAGGAATCACTCCTATTCTATAGAAGTCCTAAGGGAGAGTCTAAGATGACTGGCTGAGGGTATCCCAGGTCTTCTGAGGAGATACATGTGTCAGCAGAATTCAGCCAGACCCAGAGCTCTAGCCCTGAAAGGATGTAGCTGGGCAAAGATGGGACGGAAATGGTTTCTTTATGCCAAGGCAATTCTCTTGTCTCACGACAGGAATGATGTCAGCACTAGTGAGTGTTGAGATGCAGAACAATAGGACTCTGAGTAAAATGGATGGCTTTTCCCTCTCGGGGCACACACGAACCCTCTCTGCCCTGGCAGGCTTCTCAGCTTGGACTGGTACCCTCAATCCATGGTGTGTCTCTCGCTAGTCAGCATCCCCATCCTCATCCTTCACCCAGGCTAGGCTAAGCAATCATCAGAGCCAGCCTGGGGCTGGAAGACCGCAGAGAGCGAGCAAGAGGTCACCTTTTCATGACAGACAGCAGCTTCTGCAGCTTCTCAGCTTCTTCCTTGGACGTTCTCTTAACTGAAGGGAGAGGACACAGTGTTAGGCAGGATGGAAAGTCAGGGGGTACAGCCTATAAGCTGAAGGCAGCTGGGTGGTGGTGGTGCACACCTTTAGTCCCAGAACTTGGGAGGCAGAGGCAGGTGGACATCTGAGTTTGAACCCAGCCTGATCTACAGAGAGAGATCCAGGACAGCCAGGGCTACACAGAGAAACCCTGTCTTGAGAAACAACAATAGCAAAAAGAAGCTGAAGGTTTCTGAAGGATGGGTGACCCACAACCTCAGAGTAATGCTCTATTTGCAACTGTTTGCCATGCTGTCCTGTCCCCAACCATGCTGTTAGTACCCATTTTGTGGAGAGCAAAGAGGGAGGTAACATGACTTTCATAGGACTTTAAAACTTGAAAATGACAGAATTAAGGACATTGGCTCCACATCCTTGTACTTTATCTCAGGGAGGTCAGGCAGAAGATGGAGTATGCCTGGTCTCCTTCCCACACACGTGTCTTCTTTAGTTGTCATTGGTTTATGGCACTGTCCTCAAGCGTTGTAAACGCCTGGCTTCCGGTGCCAGTCGCCACAGAGGGTCAGCATCTGTGGAAACCTCACCCACGGAAGAAGGGAGCCAAAGAAATCGGGATTTACCTCTTGATGTTCTATCTCTAGATCTTTGTTTGACTCTTCGATAACACTTGAAAGACAAAAGCATTAGAATATGAAGTGGAAACACAATTTTTTTCACATCTAAAGTACAACAAAATCCAGAAATGCCCCCTAAGCTTTTGCTGTTCTCCAGCTTTGCCTTCCCATCTCGTCATCCTGGTCTTTCTCTTCTCATTTATGACTCAATTTTGAGGCTCTTCATGCCCTACACCTTCCATCCCGCTTCACGGACAAGTTCTGTGTTGGATTCAAGGGCAAGAAAAAGATGGGGCAAACTAAATGATGGGCAACTCTAATATCCAAAGGACCTCAGTTATCAAAGGTCCCAGAGGTCACCAACCAAGATAGTGACCCAAATAAGAGCTGATCTGGGATCCAGTGAAAGAAATCCTCATTAAAAAGAAAAAATCAAGGGGTAAGATAACCAAGAGACGGTGAAGTCATAGTATTTCCCTACCTTGTAACAGCTACTGTTAGGTCCCAACCTTAATTCTCGATAGCTCCTTTTCACATGCCAAATAATCAATGCAATAATGAAGATAGATCCGTAAGTACACAATGGGTACCCCACATCCCACAGAATAAAAGTAGGGCTCAACATCATTCCACTTCCCTAGTCATCCCTCTCCCAGGCTTCCAGGGTGTTAGAATGCAATGCCTCTGCGTTCTAGAGTTTGACTCTTTGCCTCACAGAAGAGACACCCAGGCTACCACACTACCTCACAAAGGCCTCCTGTTCCACAGAGCAGGCACATAACTGCAGACCTTCATCTAGCTTGGATAAAGTCATGTGGTGGTTCAACATTCAGATGAGGGTGTCAGTTATCTATACAGGCTGAAGAATCCGTGACAAAAGATGTCACAGCCACAGGTGGCATCCACCCCTTCGCGCTTCCCTGCTCCCTGTACTGTGACAGCTCCGTTCTCTATAGTTCCACAGTCTGGCAATTGTCTCTAGGTAACAGTCTTTATGCACATTACATACACTTCAAACAAGCCAGAGCCTAAGTCAGAGGAATACCGTGAACTACATTATCTGTACTGAGGAGACAACTAAAAATCATACAACAGGTTTGGGCAGGAATTATATGGTTAAATCTTAAAAAGCTTAATTTTAATGTCATAGCCAATGACTGATAGTATTGAAAGGTTTAGGAAGAAGATCGTGTAAAGTAGGTCAGGGGAAAAAAATCAAAACAAAACCTTTGTGACTGCTGTCCTAAATGTTTCTGAGAACTAAGGACTTATGCTAGGCTTGTGGTCTATCTTGAAATGGGCGGGATGACATCAACAGCGCCTTTCATGGAATCACACAAGACTGACTTTGAAAGCTCCATCCAAGGCGTGATTCTTTCCAATTGTCTCTGCATCTGGCCTATTCCATTAGATAGGTTATTGGCAAGACTTTTATCAAGGGCTACAAACTGCTGAATCTTTGGTTGAGACCACCATGATTACAATATTTGAGTGTTTATGAAAATCTGCAGTTGATCTTGGCCAAAAGGCCAAGAAGTGATATGTTTATGAAAATCTGAATGTCCTTAGGCGTAGCAAAATTTCCTTCATTCATCCCCCAATGCCTACCCTACCTATGACCACTGATCCACACATTAATGTCAACTTCATGGCCCTTAGTGACAGGACAGCATGTCTCCAATAACTTCTTTGAGAAATTCTTGTTCTGATTAAGAGTGGTCTTGGCTCAAAATCTCTGAAAAGGCTACTTGGTCCTTCCTTTAGCATCCAGCCCTCCGTCAATCAGACGTGGTAAGTATTTGATCTGTGCTCATCCTGAATTAGACAGGACCAAAAGGTAGGTGGGTAGATAAGAATTGCATTTCCTGCTTGTCCACAGGACACTCAAAAAGTCTAGTTTTAAAGACAAAGCTAACTTTTTTGAAGCAAGAGCCATCCTTTCCAGGGACTGGGAAAGTATGAAGTACCGTTTAATAGGGGCACTATCTGTTCTAGAAATTAACAGTGGTAATGACACTTCAGCGTTTGAATGGCTTTCGTGCTTCTGAAATGATTAAGGGATGGGCACGGAGCTCACTGGTAGACCTTTGCCCAGCAGAGAGAAAGCTTTAGTTTGACCCCAACACCAGAAGAAAATAATAAATAAATAAATGTCAAGAAAATTATTAAAATGGTAAGTTTATTTTATGCTAAGCATATCATAACAAAAATTTTAAAACTATGGTTATAAGGACTTTTTTTTACTAGTTACAAGGAAGAATATTCTAGAAATTTTTGAATAAATGGATCAGTGAATGTCTTCCTTAAATGTCTCCTATCTACAAAACAACATCAATTTTGGATTAAAGATGATTTAGGAAAAGTTCCCATGTGAACATAAGATGGATTTGAGCCATCTCAACATCCTTTATGAAAAGACAGAATGAGAGATTTCTTCAAACACAGAAAACTAAATGACAGGTTAGCAAAAGCCAAGTGAAAACAGCAGGAAGGCTTGGATGGGGAATAACCTCACAGCTCTTACTTTGACGCTGGGGTCTCTGGAGACCTCGCGAGGGGTCGAGCTGGCAGAAGCAGTTCATCGGGGCAGGTCTTTGCAGGTTACAGATCTGAATCAGCTCCCTTCTCCACTTCCCGGCCCACCACCCTGGGAACAGCTGCTGCCTCATGTTCCCACTGCCACAGGCTGAGCCACCCTGCCATGCTTCCCCACTGCGAAAACCGAGACTGGAAATGAGCCAACATAAATCTCACCCCCCTGTCTGCCAGATGCTTTGGTCCCAGTGACATACGGTTCATACAATCGGCACATCACCGGGTTAGCAGCATGTCCACGCGCCTGGAAAGAGGTTTCTCTTACTGTCAAGGATCCCTGCTCTGAAACTCAAAAGGTTCCAAAGTCTGACTTTCTAAAAACTCTAGCCTGATGCCACACGTGGAAAATTCCATGTCTAATCTCATGTGACAGTCCATAGTCAAAGCACAGGTGCATTAAACAGCCTTGAGTCTGCATCTGCGAGGTATCCATGGAACCCAGGAGGCTTCATGGTAGTTATGTATGTGCAAATACGTCTAAAAATCCAAAGTACGTCTGATAGCACAGCTTTCAGATAGCCAGTCTGTATAACTTTTTTTTTTGAGACAGGGTCCCAATATGCCACACAAGCCAGGCTTGAACTCCTGGGTTCAAGAGATCCTCCCACTTCAAACTCCTAAATGCTGACTGCAGACATGCTCTCGCAGCACACCCCACTGGATTTTATTACATTCGACTGACAGCTCTAACTTCCAGAGGCATCTGCTGCCTTCTAGGCTACAATGACAGGTCTTGGGCTTTACTTCCTGACTTCTTACCCAGGCAAAAAAAAATCTGTAAACCTACTACTAGTGTGCCAATTGCCGCCCAGGTGACCCACAGCCACTGTGACCTAGCCACGCCACTAAGACTTGCTTCTGCACTCTCCTCTCCGTTGACTCACCGGGCGGGCTCTGCTCCTGTCTCAGGGTTGAGGAGTTGGAACTCCGTGCTAGGGCAAAGTGTGTGTTTGCAGAGTGCCCTCCAGCATAGGTTTCTGTGCTGACTTGCTGCTAGTCGGCAGAAGACGCCTGCCTGCATGGAGATCATGGTGGGATCCCTGTTCCTGAACAAAGGCACCATCGAGCAGTGGACACACTGGGCCACTTTGTCACAAGTGTATAGACCATCACGTGTGTCCTAGCTCGTGTCTCAACAGGAAACAAGGGAGATGAAGTCTGTGAGACGGCTCTGTGGTCACTGGGTGACCCAGTGTCCACCCAATTGCTTTTAGGAAACAAGCGTAAGGCAGACCCTGCTCCCATTGTCACTCTGCAGTGCCATGATTGCTGTCATCAGAGTTCTCCAGGAAGCTGTGGGTAGCCTTGTAAAGAAATAGCTGAGCAAACACACCATGGATGCAAGTGTTGTCTCTCCAAGAAAACCTTTGGAAAGATACGACTGCGTCTCACACTCAGGAAACAGTGGTGATACCCCCGAGGTGTTCTCAGGGTCTGGGGACAGAGGTCCACGGCCGCTTTTACACACAAGCATCTTTACTAATGTGTTGCACATAGTTCAGTACCTCCATAGAGCCACTGGAGGGCAGCACAAGCCCTCCTAACAGTCCCAGTCCCCGACAATGGCTGCAGGGAAGAACCTTTTTCAGGTCATCGGCACCAGCGGCTCTCCATCCTCGTGTCAAATCTCAGGGAGGCTGGAAAAATATGTTTATCCAGGCCTTACCTCACACAAAATGACTCAGAATCTCTAGGGGGAGGATCTAGCAACTTGTCATAATAAGTAAATATTAAAATTAAAATCTTATGTAATAGAGTACTAGGTTATTTATACAGATCTGACATCAACTGACCTCCAAAAGGGGGAAATTTCTAGACTCAGATGAAATTATGTCCTATCTTTTGTTTCTTGGGGGTTTTTTCCTCGTTTTTTTTTTGAGACAAGTTTTCTCTGTATGCCCCTAGTTGTCCTGGAACTCACTCTGTAGACCAGACTGGTCTCAAACTCATAGAGATCTGCCTGCCTCTGCCTCCCCAGTGCTGGAATTAAAGACCATCACACCCAGCTCATGCCCTTATCTTCACACTCAATTTTTTATTTAATGTCAGGACATGGACTTGTGGACATCCTAGGAAACCCTAGAAACTTGGTTAAGAAATTTCAATATGATTCACTCAGGCCAAAGAGCACAGCTAGGATACAGGACCCTCATTAAGTCTGGAATCCTTCATAGTCTAAGAAGTTATAGAAAAACAGGACGGAAGGTGGGTGTGGGGGAGAGAAGGTACAAACTACCAATGCTAAGATGAAAAGAGGTGGTTAATGCCAAATTCCAAAAATGCTAAAAGGATAATACATTTGTAATATGAACATTTTAATCTCCATAAATTGACAGATTAAATGGACCATTGTGGCTTGAATATATTCCCTCAAAATATGCATATCAGAAAGTTAACCAACAGTGTTAGGAAGATATGACACTCTCAAAGCAGTTACGGGAGCACATCCTCTCTCCTGCTCTTTTGCCCAATGGAGACAGTGTCTACTCCTTTGCCCTCCTGATTTCTTCTATGTGACAACACAGCAAGAAGGTTCTCATCAGAATCTAGAGTTTTCATCTTGGACCTCCCAGCTTACAACTGAAACAATAAATTTCTATTTTTTATAACTTCACCAGTTTTAGCATTCTCCTATAGCAGCACAAAATGGGTTAAGAGATGAACAACCCATTTTTTAAATACAGAGGATCAAACAGAAATAGATAACTTGAACAGTCTTCTATCTAAAGAAATCACATTTTTACTAAAAATCTCATGGCCAAACATTACCACTGTGAAGAAAGTTTCAGGTACATATTTGTTCACCAGCAAATCTCACCAAATATTTAAGGAAGAAGTAGCATCAGTTCTATACAATTATTTTCAAAACACACACACAGAAATACAAATCTAAATGTAGACTCCACATATGAGAGAAAACACACAAAGTATTCATCTTTCTGAGTCTGGCTTGTTCCTTTTAACATGATTTCTATTTGATTTTACTATGGATGAAAAGGTAACAAATTTTCTTTAACCATTTATCTGCTGATGGGCATCTAAATTAGTTCCATTGTTTAATTACTGTAAAAATGCAGCAACAAACATG